GTGGTGCTAAAAAACCGCCTGGTAAAAATCTGTCATCATACTGGCCCGAACTGGGTGGCTGCATTTTKACTTATTTTAATGATGTTTTGTTTTTTGTACTCTGTTGCTGACTTTTGCAAAAGCGCTGATTTTAAGATGGGTTGGAGTGATGATGCCTGATAACCAAGTGCAAATGCCATTATTGGATGGAAATGTGAGTGAGGAGGAAATGATTCACCTACAGAGTGATGATGTTATGGAAATGTACCCATTTTAAGTATTTTGTTTGGTCTGGTTACACTTCACAATAGGTCTGTGTTGACACTGTGAAGGGAAATGTGTGTAGGATGGGTGCCAATTTTTGTTTGATTCAGTTTTCTCATGTTTTTGTAATCTAGGGAGGTAAGATGAATTGTCCGGTATTTTTTACCTGAGACTTTGAAAAACAACAACCCAACCAGACATTTAGACAAAGACAATCAGAGACCGGTAAAGTTTAAATGATACTGTCGTGTCTTGGTTCTGTTCGGTTCTGAGGCTGTCAGCGGCTTGACTCTTCTCTCTCCCCCGTCTGCTCATCTGCTGTCGGTCGCTGCTGCTTCGGTCTGAAGTCTTGTCACATGTCGATAAACTCTAATCTAACATTTGAATGAAGGAGAGACTATTTCCTCAGCTTTGGACATGTTTATTTAAGAGAGACATGATAGACGGTGCTAACAGCTAAGGTGGTAGGAAGAAGTCCCCCCGAGAGCCTGCGTGTGCCTTCATGCGCGCTCCCACGGTCTGACCCTCGTTCACATATTCTTAAAGGGCCATACATGAAAATTCACCACATTCCCCCCCTTCGATACGTCAGTATCGACAAATAATCAAACGTACATACATCTCTCATAAAATACACATAGTCCAGCTGAAAATTTTCTTGTGCATAATAAGGTAAATAAGATTTAAACTAAAATTTTAGCCTAAAATTAAATAGGAACCTGTTTAATCCTATTTGCATCCTAATTTAAGACATTACTTTAAAGCTAGTTAAGCTAAACTCTAAAGTAAGTAAAATCCCAATTCGACTATTCATTAGCCACACCCACAAACCTCCTGACAGTGACCAAAATGTCACCCTACAGGAAATCCACAGGCCAGCTATAAATCCTAGACATACCTAATTAAGACCCACAGAATCAAAAACCTCCCTCATGAAGCAGAAAGAGGTACCAAAAAGATCCTGCGATCAGAGAACCCTTCACACTGAGCCAATCTGTGAAAGAATCTCCTTTAGAATTACCAATTAACAT